GAGAAAATGCCTCAGGGGGCATGGCCAAGCCATAGTCCCTTCTCCTCCATTCTCCTCTGGGGATTTTGGGCACGCATGCACACGTGCTCAGTGTGTGTTTCAAGCCGCCGGTTCTGGGGCTTGAACTGCAAAGTCGGCTATGTGCGCGATCCGGCTGCCTTTACCACCATGCCACCTGCTGGCACTGGAAGCTGCGCTTTTCCCTCGAAGCTGTTCATGTTGATGTGAAACTGTGAGATTCTGGTTGGGCATATTTCCCTTAGCGAAACATTGCAGCTACTTGCTAAATGATGGGGAATTTGTACAAATATTGATGCTTTGAGTGATCTGATGTCTTCTGGGAAAAAAATCATAACAAAATGGAGAATTTCACCAATACGGAGGAAACATAAATTATGGTCGATTTCCATCTTAAATTTCTTCTACTCTTCCTTTTAAACGGAGCCTTGAATTACATATAACTAACCTGCCGGGTTTCTCCTGTGATTTATAAACTATGGCAAAATTCAGCAATTATTAATAAAGGACTGATTTTTTTTCTCTCTTATAATCAATTACTTTCTTTTTTTTTTTTTTTTTTGGAGAGTTTTTTTGCTATAGGGCACGTGTGCTCCCGGCGGGCCCTGGGCGTGCGCACACCTAAGTCTGGAAAGGAAAGGGAGATGAGAAGGGATTGCAGGACACGGCTCCCCCCACGGGGATGCTTTCTCACTCCCTGCCCACCACCCCAGCCAGCCCACCTCTGGCAAGAAAAATATAAGATCCTCTCAAAGGAACAACTTGTAGAGTTGGCTAATACATGGCCTTGCTAAACAAGTAATAATAGATTTTTTGGGAGAGGTTTTTGCTATAGGGTGCGTGCGCTCACCAGTAAGAGACAGAAAGACAGAGAGAGAAGTCATCCCCCAGGGGGATGGCCCCGCCACAATCCCTCCTCCTCCATTTTCCTCTCAGGATTTGGAGCACGCACGCACAGTCTGATGCTGTGTAGGGGGATCAGACATTGGCCGTTTCTTCTAGCACATTACCCAGGCCCCCCTGGTGCTGGGGACCCCTGCCAGGGGCTATGGGAAGGCAGGGGGTCTTAAAGGAACTTTAATGCTAATTGAGGGAAGAGGAAAAGCAGACCAAAATACAGATTCCAACCCAAATAACATACCCTTATCCGGGGAATGATTACAGCTGTTACGTTCTTTGGTTGGTTGGTTGGTTGGTCTATTTTTTTTTTTTAGAGGTTTTTGCTGTAGGGCGCATGCGCTCGCTAGAAAGACAGAGACAGAGAGACAGAAAGCGAGAAATAACACCCCTCCCCGCCCCTGTAGGATGACCATGCTGTAATTCCTTCTCCTCCATTTTCCTTTCAGGATTTTGAGCATACACACACATGTGCCACCAGGAGTTTCAAGTCTCTGGGTCCAGGACTTGATCAGTGGTTGACCATGTGGAAGTCCAATGTCCCAACCACTACGCCACCTGCTGGCCTCGTGGAGATCCTTAAGAGACAAATGAAATGGCAATAAATTTAAGTGTAAATGGATTTCTGGAAAATAAACTGAATCCAGTCACCCTCACTTCTTTTTAGCTTTTCGGAGAGATTTTTGCTATAGGGCGTGTGCACTCACCAGAGAGACAGAGACAGAAAGCCAGAAATCACCCCCCTCAGGAGGGACAGCCACGCCGCAATCCCTTCTCCTCCATTCTCCTTTTAGGATTTTGGGCACGCACGCACACGCGCCCAGCGTGAGTCTCAAGCCACCGGGTCTGGAACTCGAACCGTGTTCGACCACGTGAGAGTCCAGCGCCTTAACCTCTACACCACCCGCTGGTCCAAGGGATGTCTCTTGATACTTGGCTTTGAAGATAATTCTAGTAGCGAGCCAATTAGGGAGGTTGGTTTGCAGAGTCGCTGTCTCTGCCCAGCCTGTGGGTGACCTAGTGCCAAGTGGGTGTTGACCCTGGCTGTTTGGGGGGTGCCTAGCTTTGCACGGACACCCCCTCGGGGTTGAACACAGTTCAGAAAGGGGCCGACCGTGGGGAACGAGGCAGGCAAAGACCTACCTTGAAAACTTGGCAAGTAGCAACCCTGGAAACCTTCCGGGAGGAAAGCAAAATAAACCAGCCAATACTAGGAAGGTCTGGAGGTTCAACGGGCCATTGTAAAGCCTCGGTAAAGGCCCACTGTGGGCGCCAGAGAATGAGGTCTTTTGTCCCCCCTCATAGTCCCCGTGAGATGCGGTGGCCGCAAATTAACTCCCCTTTGCTTTCGAACTCGCTTCGACCCCCTCCAGCAACTGAAAACTCGTAGAGCGGTGATCTCCAACATTTCTGGCACCGGGGGCCGGTTTCAGGGACGACAGGGCAGGGGTGGGGCGTGCTTTCAGGATGAGTCGAGCACTTTATATTTAGGGTGAATTTTATTTTTAGTTTTATTACTTTGTAATAATAAGGACCAGTATAAGTCCATGCCCCGAAGGATGGGGACCCGTGGTGTAGAAGATTCCTTTCTTTCTTTTCTTTTCTTTTTATTTTTTTTTATAAATTACCTATTAATGATATAGCTATTCTTTTTATTTCATTTAACCTTATTTATTCATTTATTTATTTTAATTTGACCAGAGAGAAACAGAAAGAGAGAGAGAAAGTGAGAAAGCAAGCCATCAGGTCCAGGACTCGAACCGCAGTCGGCCATGTGGGAGTCCAGTATCCTTAACCACCACACCAACTGCTGGCCATTCCTTTCTTTTTTATTTTATTTTACTGGGGAGAGATTTTTGCTATAGGGCACGTGAGCTCACCAGAGAGACAGAAACAGACAGAAAGCGAGAAATCACCCCCCAAGAGGGATGGCCACACCGCAATCCCTTCTCCTCCATTCTCCTCTCGGGATCTTGGGCACGCACGCACACGTGCACGGCGTGAGTTTAAGCCACCGGGTCCGGGACTCGAACTGCAGTTGACTACATGGGAGTCCAGCGATGTAATCATTATGCCAACTGCTGGCCCTTTTATTTTTTTTTCCCAAAGAGTCAAACGCCTCCCTAATGTTCCCTACAGTCATTTCTGTGTCCCCTCGACTACCCGGGGGAGTGTCCTGGGCTCTTTCTCCCGAGTAGGAGAGACAGGCCCAGGCAGTAGGTGGGGGCGTCCTGCCACAGCACTGGCTTCAGGCCAGATGGAGAAGACACCTACAGATGTGCCACAGCAGCCCTGGGAAGAGAATGTTTAAAACTGAGCTCATCCTGGGCTAGTAGGTGACATAGTGGTTAAGGTGCTAGACTCCCACATGGCTGACCACGGTTCGAGTCCTGGACCTTGCAGCTTGAAACTCATGCCAGGCATGTGAGCGTGCATGCCCAAAATCCTCAAAGGAGAATGGAGAAGGGATTGCGGTGCCGGCCATCCCTCCAAGGGGGTGATTTCTCGCTCTCCGTCTCTCTCTCTAGTGAGTGCAAGTGCCCAGAAATCTCTTTAAAAACAAAACAAGAGGGACCAGCAGTTGGCATAATGGCTATGTCGCTGGACTCCCATGTAGTCGACCACGGTTCGAGTCCCGGACCCGGTGGCTTAAACTCACGCCAGGCGCGTGTGCGTGCCCAAGATCCTGAGAGGAGAATGGAGGAGAAGGGATTGTGGCATGACCATCCCCCCTGGGGGGTGATTTCTCGCTTTCTGTCTCTCTGTCTCTCTGTCTTTCTGGTGAGCGCACACGCCCTATAGCAAAAACCTTTCAAAAAAAAAAAAAAAGAACAAGACAAAAATCTGAGCTCAGGACCAGCAGATGACATCATGGTTACATTCGTGGCCCCCCGCTGAGGGCTGCAGTAAGGAGACCCTAAAGGAAGTCTTCCAGAAGGAGCCCACCTGGTGGGAGGCCAGCCCCCACTCACCCACTGTCACACCCCAGACTGCCCCGTGACCCCCACAGTGACAGACCTGAACACCTCATTCCACCACCCTGTCCTGCTCGATTAGTGTGGATCATCCCTGCTTGGGGGTTTCTTCCCCAGCACCAGAGGCACCTGCATGGAATTGCTTTGTCCTCTGTGGTGGAGATCAGGTCTGGCTGGCTCCAGCAAAAGGACTCTGTGCAAGTGAATGCACTTGAAGAAGTCATTCCTGCCTCTTCTTCCCCCGTCCCCGCCTCCCCGCTAGGATCCCACATCTCCAGTCTCTTCTCTGATCTCGACACCCCACCTCCTGCAGCTGTTTGGCTTGGTCTCGCGCCACCGTGTCTAGAGCGTTCAGTGTCTGACCCTGGAGCCAAGAGAGGTTCAGCTCTGGCTAGCGCCGGACTCCCCAGGGGTTGGCTGTCCGGTCTTGTGTTCCGGCTCTTCCAGCTTCAGCAAGGCCACCATTCTTCGGAGAATCTCTCCTGACCTACCCAGCTGTGACAGCCGGACACAGGGCCCCAGGGGCTGCATTGAATTAGAAAGCGTCTCTCTCTCTGGATGAAAGGCAATGTTTGTTTCTTTCAGGCGTGTGCCATCCGGAGTGTGGGAACAAAGGCTGTGACGGCCCCAACGCCGACCAGTGCTTGAACTGTGTCCACTTCAGCCTGGGGAGCGCCAAGACCAGCAGGTAACAGGCGGGGTCTTCCTCTGTGTCCCAGGGCCCCCGGCCTCTTCTCAGCCCCTCCAAATCCTGATCCCCTCTTTAAGAAGAAATGTGATATCCCCAGAAAGGAAATGACACCGAGATCAAGTGCACTGGACTTTTGAAGTTTTTAGTAACTGGACCAGCAAGTGGTGTGGTGGTTAAGGTGCTGGATTCCCACATGGTTGACCACGGTTCGAGTCCCAGACCCGGTGGCTTAAACTCACACCAGGTGTGTGTGCGTGCGTGCCCAAGATCCTGGGAGGAGAATGGAGGAGAAGGGATTGCAGCATGGCCATCCCCTCTGGGGAGTGACTTCTTGCTTTCTCTCTCTTTGTCTCTCCAGCGAGCACACATGCCCTATAGCAAAAATCTTTAAGAAAAAAAAAAAAAAATCTTTTTTAGTTAACTTTGTTTTAATTACACACGTAATATTGGAGATTTTCAAAAAGTTTGGGAGAAATGTATATTATGATAAAACTAGGCACAGCCAGTGGCATGGTGGCTAAGGCAGCTGGATCCCACGTAGCCAACTCAGCAGTTCAAGTCCCAGACCGGGCAGTTGTGAAACACACCAGGTGTATGTGCGTGCCCAAGATCTTGAGAGGAGAATGGAAGACAAGGGATTGCAGGGTCGCCATCCTCCCTGAGGGGCGATTTCTCACTTTTCCTTCTTCTCTCTCTTTCTCTGTCTCTCTCTGATGAGCATACGCAGCCAACAGCAAATTGAAAGGACAGAAAACTATGCATGCATATTGCAAAATGTTTTTGCACCAAAATAAACTCGTACTTTGGGACCAGCAGTTGGCATAATGGCTAAGGCGCTGGACTCCCATGTAGTCGACCGCAGTTCAAGTCCCAGACTCGGTGGATTAAACTCACGCCAGGCACGTGTGCGTGTGTGCCCAAGATCCCGAGAG